GGAACCTAAACCCAATTATGTGAAAAATATTTTTTACCTCTGATGCTGAGAAATGAAAATCGCATAGAAGACATATAAACTATCCTCAAAGGAATACTAATATTTTACCAGAAGATAAATATTAAATTTTCCTGAACTTTTATTACAATTCAATCTTGGGTAATATTTGAATACTAAATTATGCCATGTTACCATAAAATTATTTAAGGTTGCTCAAATGGATATTTTCTTTTTGTTTTGTTTTGTTTTGAGACAGAATTTTCGCTCTGTCACCCAGGCTGGAGTGCAATGACACGATCTCAGCTCACTGCAACCTTCGCCTTCCTGGTTCAAGCAATTCTCCTGTCTCAGCCTCCCGAGTAGTTTGGATTACAGGCACCCGCCATCATGCCCGGCTAATTTTTGTAGGGACAGGATTTCACCATGTTGGCCAAACTGGTCTCGAACTCCTGACCTCAAGGTGATCTGCCTGCCTCGGCCTCCCAAAGCGCTGGGATTATAGGCCTCCCAGAGCCACCACATCTGGCCTGAATGCTATGTTTTAAAATATTATAGTTCATTTGGAATTTTGACATAAGTACATTTCCAATATAGGCTGTCCAGAAGATACATCACAATTTCATGAGCTATTTTACATTACATAGGGAAATCCATAATTTGTGATCTATAAATCCCGTCACCACAGATCTTTAGCAGTCTTAAAACTGTTCTTTTAAGAGAAAAGAATGCTTGCAGTTTCCTTATTTCATTTACCTGATATATTTTTCTCTACCTCAATAAAAACAGAAAGTGTGAAAAAAGAGACAGAATCATGAGTAATAGACCAAATGATAATAGGACAAATAGGTTTCCCCCTGTGGATTAATCTATACTTGGCATAGCCTTAAACTTTTCCTACTTATTTGACAATATAAGCAAAAGTTCAAAATCTGCACAAATCTTATAAATACAGAAATTCCATGTTTAGCAACTTATGGCACAAAAATAATCAGAGAAGCAGGTAAGGAGATATACATAAGGATGGTCATTGTGATGTTTATAATAGTGAAAAACAATGCAACTTAAATGTGCACCATAAGGAATTAGTTAATTATGGTAGAGCCACAGTATGGAATACCAAACAGTCATTAATGATAACCAACTGCATATTCATTGATTAATTAGGTAAAAAAAAGAGTAAGTACAGTTGTATGTGAACACATAGGAAAAAGATTAGAATATACATAAAATAGTGGTTATCACTCATTGGTGGAATTACCAGTGATTTTTTTTTTCTTTTTTCTTATTTGCATTTTCTAATGTTTTAATGCAATGAGATAAATTGCTGCACAAGAATGACAGGGGGAAAGAAATGAAAAGTAGATGTCAATGTGCATCACCTGGGAATTTATAGTCTTTCATCAAAATAAGTTATACTTTACATCTGACTAGAAATTGTTGAAAAAAATATTAATTATGTTGTAAAAATATGACACTGCAGAGACAGGAAGTCAACTTGTTTCCCCATTCCTGTCACTAACTGGAAAGAACCCTTCCTCAATTTCCAACAGATGTTGAGAAGTACTTCTGAGTCTGAGTAAAATCACATAATTTTCCTCCTTTCTTTATGCTTTATAGCTTGTATAACTGTCCAGATAAGGTGGAGAATCTATGAGAAAGGGACACATAGTTCCAGGGATTGAAGTGATGATATGTAAAAACTGAAAGTTTCTTTTCCTTCTATATCCTTTTGCCTACAGGCTAAAGAGCTACACAACCACTTATGCTTTAAAAAATTTTTTTTTTTTTTTTTTGACACAGGGTCATGCTCTGTCACCCACGCTGGAGTGCAGTGGTACAATTATAGCTCACTCTAACCTCGATCAGGCAACCTTCAGCCTTAGCCTCCTGAGTAGGTAAGACTAGAGGCACATACCATCATGGCCAGTAAATTTATTTTCTATTTTTTTTTGTAGAGATAGTGTCTTTCTATGTTGCCCAGGTTGACTTAATGCTTTTAATAAAGCATTAATAAGACAAAGCATATCTAAAACAGTTAAGGCTGGGTGCAGTGGCTCAAGTCTGTAATCTCAGCACTCTGGGGAGCAAAGGCAGGAGGATCACTTGAGCCCAGGAATTTGAGATCAGCCTGGACAATGTAGTGAGACCCCTATCTCTACAAAAAAACTAAAAAAAAATTAGCCAGGTCTAGTGACATCAGTCTACAGTCCCAGCTACTCAGGAGGCTGAGGTGAGAGGATCACTTGAGCCGGGGAGGTTGAGGGTGCAGTGAGCCAAGATAGCACCACTGCATCCTAGCCTGACTGACAAAGCAAGACTCTGTCAAACAAATAAATAAATACATAAACTAGCTACACGTTTATGTTTTTTATATTCCCTGCACACTATTTTCATTCCTTTTTTTTTTTTTTTTAAGATGGTGTTTCACTCTTGTCACCTAGCCTGGAGTCCAATGGCATGATCTCAGCTCACTGCAACCTCGGCCTCCCATGTTCAAGTGATTCTCCTGCCTCAGCGTCCCGAGTAGCTAGGATTACAGATGTCTGCCACCATACCTGGCTAAATTTTTTTGTATTTTTAGTAGAGACGGGGTTTCACTATGTTGGCCAGGCTGGTCTCGAACTCCTGATGTCAGGTGATCTGCCCGCCTTGGCCTCCCAAAGTGCTGGGATTACAGGTGTGAGCCACCGTGCTTGGCCTCATTCCTTATTTATTACTTTCAACAACCCTACGAGATTAAGTGTTATTAGTCCTACTTTATAAAGCCTGGTTCAGAGATTAAGTAATTGACATTAGGTCCATAAGTAGTAGACTCAGGGTTCGATCCCAGATCTGTTTAATTCCAAAGTTCTAGTTCTTTCCACTATATGACATTGCTTGCCTTTCATTCAGAGGCTATCAACAGAAAAAAATATAAATTTAAAATAATGCCTTAGGGGTAACAAAATAATGGACAGCTGACTAAAACTTCTAATCAGGTCTATCAAACCGCTCTTCTGTTAGTTTGCACTTTATAGGTTCATTTACAGGGTTGGTTAAAAGGTTAAGTAGGTTTCCATTACAGAATAATCTCTTCTTGACTGAAGAATTTTTCAAACGCCCATACATGTATCACTATTTTATCATTGCTATTGTAGACAAAATCTTAAAAGGAGAAAACACCTACTAACCAGAAACAGCAAATAGTTTATTATCAACAATGTAGGGGAAAAAAGTACAGTATTTTGTTCTTTTTAAATAAAATTAGTTATAACATAAAATAGAGAACTGTGTAAAGATCTAGGTTCAACACTGATTTAGAATTAAAAACAACTTAAAAAACCCATTATCAAGCCAGGCACAGTGGCTCACTCCTGTAATCCCAGCACTTGGGAGGCTGAGGTGGGCAGATCATTTGAGGTCAGGAGTTCGAGACCAGCCTGCCCAACATGTTGAAACTACATCTCTACTGAAAATACAAAAATTAGCCGGGTGTAGTGGCAGGTGCCTATAATCCCAGCTACTCCAGAGGCTGAGGCAGGAGAATCACTTGAACCCAGGAGGCGGAGGCTGCAGTGAGCACCACTGCTCTCCATCTAGCCTGGGCAACAGAGTGAGACTCTGGAGACTCTGTCTCTAGCCTGGGAGACAGAGTGAGATTCCATCCCCAAAACAAAACAAAACACAAACCATTAACAGTGGCTGAGCGTGGTGGCTCATACCTGTAATCCCAGCACTTTGGGAGGCGAGGCAGGTGGATCCCTTGAGACCAGGAGGTTGAGAACAGCCTGGCCGACATGGCAAAAGCCCATCTGTACTAAAAATAAAAAAATTAGCCTGGTATGGTGGCACACGCTCATAATCCCAGCTACTCAGGCAGCTGAGACATGAAAATTGCTTGAACCTGAAAGGCAGAGTGCACAGTGGGCAGCACTGCTCTCCATCCAGCCTGGGAAACAGAGCAAGACTCTGTCTCAACAAACAAACAAACAAAAAAACCACTAACAAGACTGAGCTAAGAATAATCTCTGTACTCTAACAAAGATCCAAAAAGCCAGTTTTCAACTATTGTATAATTAACCACTTAGGAACCTCAGGTATTTCAGAATATCTATTTACATTCTCAAACTGACATGCTAATTACATACCAATCCTGAGGTGCTTTACTTAGCTGAACTATGTAGTCTGTCTAGTCTAAGTTACCACATGCTTTTTAGTTTCTTCACTTAAAAGTACTTCTTCTTCCTGTTATAAAATCAACACATGTACATGGTATTTTTTTTTTTTTTTTTTTTTTTTTTTTTGAGACAGAGTCTCACTCTGTGGCCTAGGCTGGAGTGCAGTGGCACAATCTTGGCTCATTGCAACCTCCGTCTCCTGGGTTCAATCAATTCTCCTGCCTCAGCCTCCCAGGTAGCTGGGATTACAGGTGTCTGCCACCACACCTGGCTAATTTTTTGTATTTTTAGTAGAGATGGGGTTTCGCCATGTTGGCAAGGCTGGTCTAGAACTCCTGAACTCAAGTGATCCAACTGCCTTGGCCTCCCAAAGTGCTGGGACTACAGGCATAAGCCACCATGCCTGACCTAAAACTAAAAATTTAAAGCCAAAAATCTCTCCACTCAGAGATAAGCAGAGTTTGTATATTCATATATATCCTTTGGAAACTTCTGTGTGATTATGTGTGCATACTTATGTATTTACAAAAATGGAACTAAAAAATCCTTTGTATTATCTTCTTAAACTTTCACACGTTGTGACCATATTTCCATGTTACTAATGGTATCCACAGTATGGATAATTAATCACCTACTGTTGAACATTTAGGCATTATCTATTTTTTGCAACTATAAACAATGCTTCGATGAATATCCTTGAATTAAAATATCTTCTAATTCAGCCTTTTCAATAATTTAGGCCTGCCTTGTTAGTCCTAATTTCAAATAACATAGTGTTGACATTATAATTTCAATGAACATAAATAACATATTAATTCATCTTTTTGAACAAAAAATTCTTACCTTGCAATAACAGATTCAATTGGCATGATATCAGGCACATAGTGAGCCATAGGGGAAACAAAGTGTCCATCTAAGATCTTACAATCTGATTGCTCTTCAATCTAAAAGAAAATCAAAACCAAGATGTATGCAAGAAAACTAAGATATCTTGGTCTATCATGGATGTTCTTCTAATAAAAAGTTCTATTCAATTAAAATCATGTTTTCAGCACCTACCACGTAAACTTTTCGTGCCACTGTACTTTATTATTAATTATTCTATGTGCATAATCATTGAGTATATTATAGGGTACATGTGATGTTTTGATACCAGCATACAAGTTGTAATGATCAAATCAGGGCAACTGGGGTATCCATCACCTGAAGCACCTATCATTTCCTTGTGTTAGGAACATTCCAATTTCACTCTTATTTCAAAATATACAATAAATTATTGTTAATTATAGTGACTCTATTATGCTATCAAATACTAGATATTATTGATTCTAACTGTACATTTGTACCTGTCAATCATCTCCATTCTATCTTCCCCTCCCTGCTACTTTTCTTAATCTCTGATAATCATCAATCTACTCTTCATCTCCATGAGTTCAATTTTCAAAAATATTTAGCTCCCACGTATGAGTGAAAACACATGAAATTTGTCCTTCTGTGACTGGTTTAATTTACTTAACACAATGTCCTTCAGTTCCATCCATGCTGTTGCAAATGACAAGATTCATTCTTGCTTATGATTGAATAATATTTCACTGCATATTTGTACATTTTCTTTATCCATTCATCTGCTGGTGAACACTTAGGTTGATTCTGCATCTTGGCTACTATGAACAGTGCTACAATAAACATGGGAGTGCTCATATCTCTTTGATACAGTGATTTCCTCTCTTTTTCATATATACCCAGTGGGGGGATTGCTGGGTCATATGGTAGTTCCAGTTTTAGCTTTTGAGGAAGTTCCATACTGTTCTCCACAGTGGTCATACTAACTTACATTCCCACCAACAGTGAACGAGGTTTCCTCTTCCTCTTTCTCTACATCCTCACCAGCTTTTACTATTGCCTGTCTTTTGAATAAAAGCCATTTTAACTAGGGTAAATGATATATCACTGTAATTTTGATTTGCATTTCCCTGATGATTAGTGATGCTGAGCATTTTTTCATATACATGGTTGGCCATGTGTATGTCTTCTTTTGAAAAATGTGAAATGTCGGCCAGGCGCGGTGGCTCACGCCTATAATCCCAGAACTTTGGGAGGCCAAGGCAGGCGGATCACCTGAGGTCAGGAGTTCGAGACCAGCCTTACCAACATGGTGAAACCCTGTCTCTACTAAAATACAAAAAATTAGCTGGACATGATGGTGCGCGCCTACAGTTCCAGCTACTCAGGAGGCTGAGGCAGGAGAATCACTTGAACCCAGGAGGCAGAGGTTGCAGTGAGCCGACATTGAGCCACTACACTCCAGCCTGGCAACACAGCAAGACTCCGTCTCAAAAAAACAAAAGAAAAATGTAAAATGTCTATTCAGATCTTTTACCCATTTTAAAATCAGATTATGATTTTTTCCCTATTAATTTATTTGAGCTCCTTATATTCTGGTTCTTAATTCCCTGTCAGATGAGTAGTTTGTAAACATTTTCTCCGATTCTGTGGACCACAGTGGTTTTTAAAGACATGGTTCCTGCCTATACACATTTCTTTTCCTTCCATATCCTTTACTATAATCTAGTTGAGAAAATAAACTATAAATAAATCACATTGATACACTGACATGCAATAACTCAAAATAAACTACTAGTTAAGAGAATTACATTCAACACCTAAACTTATTTTCCCCTCCAATAAGTATTTTATTTTTGTAGAGACAGGATCTTACTATGTTGCTCAGGCTAGTCTGGAACGCCTGGCCTCAAGCCTCCCAAAGTGTTGGGTATTAAGGCATGAGCCATCGTGTCTGGCCTAATTATTTCTTAAAAATTTCAGGTCAATAGTAAAAAAATTAAAGTAGCATTGAATTACCACATATTTTCATTCAAATCAGAAACAAAAACGTATCTGTGGATGATGTATATATCTAACTTTTTAAAAAATTAATTAACTAATTAGTTAATTTTTGGGGAAATGGGGTCTCACTCTGTCACCCAGGCTGGAGTACAGTGCTGCCATCCTGGCTCACTGTATGCTTCACCTCCCAGGGTTCAAGCAATCCTCCCACTTCAGCCTCCAGAGTAGCTGGGACTACAGGCATACCACCATACCCAGCTAATTTTTACATTTTTTTGGTAAAGACAGGGTTTTGCCATGTCGCCCAGGATGGTCTCAAACTCCTGGACTCAAGCAATCTGCCCGACTTGGCCTCCCAAAGTGCTAGGATTACAAGCTAGCTTTTTTTGTTTTGAAACAGAATCTTACTTTGTTGTCCAGGCTGGAGTGTGCTGGCGCGATCTCGGCTCACTGCAACCTCTGCCCCCCAGGTTCAAGCGATTCTCCTGCCTCAGCCTCTCGAGTAGTTAGAATTACAGGTGCACATCACCATGCCCGGTTAATTTTTTTTATTTTTAGTAGAGACGGGGTTTCACCATATTAAAAACCACCAGGCTGGTCTCAAACTCCTGAGCTCACATGATCCACCCATCTCGGACTCCCAAAGTGCTAGGATTACAAGTGTGAGCCACTGCACCCGGGACAAGCTAGTTTTTTAAAAAACAAATTCTAGGTCATGTGCAGTGACTCACACCTGTAATCCCAGTACTCTGGGAGGCCGAGGTGGGCAGATCTCTCGAGCCCAGGAATTCAAGATCAGCCTGAGCAATATGGCAAAAACTCTGTCTCTACAAAAAATACAAAAATTAGCTGAACGTGGTAGCATGTGGCTGTGGTCCCAGCTACATGGGAGGCTGAGGTGGGAGGATCACTGGAGTCCAGGAGGTCATGGCTGCAGTGAGCCATGACTGCACCACTGCAGTGCAGCTGGGTGACAGGGTGAGACCTTGTCTCAAAACAAAACAACATTTTGTTTTGTTTACCAAAAAAAAAAAATTTTTTTTTGTAATCAGCTGGACAAATGTTATCTATTAAATGACCCACATATTTTTGCAACTGACTTAAAACACTACTATTACTATGTACTAAACATCCATATATTTCTGCTAGTTATTTTCAATCCTTCATTAGGTCTTATTTGCCTACCTTTTATTTCTGCACCCATATCATGCTGTGTTGATAACTGTAGCATTTTAATACTCATTGTTATATGACTAAACTAGTCTTTGTTTACAACTCTTCCTTTCCAGCGTATTCCCAATCTGATTTTATTCTCATGCATTTTCTTAAAATAATTTTAGGATGCTTTTATGGATGTAGGTTCTATGTTCAATACTTTAATTGAAATTGCATTACATTTTAAAAAATGCTTAAGGAGACATAATATCTCTATAAAACTGAATTTTTAATCCAAAAAACTTTCCAATTTAGTTTTTTATGCCTATTGGTATAGTTTTAAAGTGTTCTTCTTATGTATTCATTTTTATTTATTTATTTTTATTTTTTGAGTCTTGCTCTGTCACCCAGGCTGGAGTGCAGTGAGTGCTATCTTGGCTCACTGCAACCTCTGCCTCCCAGATTCTAGCAATTCTCCTGCTTCAGCCTCCTGAGTAGCTGGGACTACAGGCATGTACCAGCATGCCTGGCTAATTTTTTTGTATTTTTAGCAGAGATGGGGTTTTGCCATGTTGGCCAGACTGGTCTCGAACTTCTGACCTCAAGTGATCCACGCTCCTCGGCCTCCCCAAGTGCTGGGATTACAGGCATAAGCCATCGCACTCAACCCTTTTATGTATTTTACAAGAATAAGTTATTTGATAAAGCAGCAGCACAAACTAATACATAATTAATTTTTTTTTTTTTTAAGACAGGGTCTCATTCTGTTGCCCAGACTTGAGTACAGAGGCATGATCTCAGCTCACTGCAACCTCTGCCTCCTAGGCTCAAGCAATTCTGCTGCCTCTGCCTCCCAAGTAGCTGGAATTAGAGGCATGCACCACCATGCCCAGCTAATTTTTGTATTTTTAGTAGAGACGGGGTTTCACCATGTTGGCCAGCCTGGTCTTGAACTCCTGACCTCAAATGATCCACCACCTCAGCCTCCAGAAGTGCTGAGATTACAGGTGTGAGCCACCGCGCCCAGCCCATTATTAATTATTAATAAAGGAAGCAGAACAAACTAATGTTAAAGGGAAAAATAGTGCAACAAATTAGCGTTCTGATAGCTGGCAACTTGGTAAGAAAAGACAATTTCAGAATTACACATATTATACATAACATGGATTTTAAAATTAAGCAAGATACAACCCAACAATAAAAAGATAGAGAACTCAATGTAAAAAGGAGCAAAGGTTTGAAAAGACAGTTCCCCAAAGAAGGTATACAAATGGCCAATTCACACTTGAAAAGATGTTCAGCCTCACAGCCATTAGGGCGTAGTCAAAACCACAAGGAAATACTTTTATACCCACTATGATGACTTGGACAAGTACAAAGTTGGTGCGTATGGCAAAATCAGAATGTTTATTCACTGCTGGTGGGAATATATAAAATAGTATAGTCACTATGGAAAACAGTTTGATAGTTAAACTTAGAGTTATCATCATATGACCCAATAATTAAACTCTTCAGTATACACAAGAGAACTAAAAACATACATTCACACAAAAATCATACTTGAGTATTCATAGCAGCACTATTTATAATAGCCAAAAAGTGAAAACAACCCAAATGTCCATCAATTTATGAATGGATAAGCAAACTGTGGTATACAGTACAATAGAATATTATTTAGCTATACAAAAGGATTAAGTTTTCCTTGAATGTTCTGATGCTGTAAAAAAAAAAAAAAAAACTAAAAAGAAGTACTGACACATGCTACAACATGGATGAACCTTGAAAACATTATGCTAAGTGAAGAAGCCAGATAAAAAAAGCTACATATTGCATGATTCCATTTATAAGAAATGTCCACAGTAGGAGAACCCACAGAGACAGAGGGTAGACTAGTGATTGCCAGCAGGTGGGGGAAGAGGCAAGGGAAAGTGACAGCTAATGGATACAGGGTTTCTTTCTAGGACAATGAAAATATTCTAGAATTAGTGACAGTGTTGATGGCTGCACATCTTGGTAATATAATTTAAAAACCATTCAATTGTATACTGTAAAACGGTGAATTTTATCTCCATTGCTTTTTTTTTTTTCTTTGAGACGGAGTCTCGCTCTGTCACCGGGCTGGAGTGCTGTGGCATAATCTCGGCTCACTGCAACCTCCGTGTCCTGGGTTCAAGCGATTCTCCTGCCTCAGCTTCCCGAGTAGCTGGAACTACAAGTACGCGCCACCACGCCCAGCTAATTTTTGTATTTTTCTTTTAGTAGAGACGGGGTTTCACCATGTTGGCCAGTATGGTCTTGATCTCTTCACCTCACGATCCTATCGCCTCGGCCTCCCAAAGTACTGGGATATCCTTGTCTCAGTTTTTAAAAACTAAAGGTAGTGGATCAGTAAGAATGCATTCCAAAATCTTAACAGCAATTCACTCTTGGGAGGGAAATGGAATTAGGTAGTGGAAAGTGGCAGAGATTAAAGGAGATTTTTTTTTTTAACTTGGTACATTTTAAATTTTTTTTAAGTTTATAATTTTTTAATAGAAAAAATATAGAGGATAAAAATATTTGGCAAAATTTGAGGGTACAGGGAGAAATGCTATTAATTCAGAAGATACAGAAAGAACTTCTATTATGTGGAGGAGGGGTTTTCAATCTATAAAATTTTGTTCTTAGCAGTCGAACTCTTTTGAAAAGAGAAATCTAAAGATATCCAAAACATATGAGATGCAAGTACAGTTACTTTGGTTGAAGGGGAGTGAGGGATGTGTGAAGCTTGCCTATTTGTATCCCCTCTCCAACAATACATCAAAGTATGCAATTACATAAACCTAGAAATATTTTACGGAAAACCAGGTGCCTCCTTTAAAAAAAAGATCTCAAAAACATCCTTGGCTTCTCTAATTTTATAGCTTTTTCTTTCTACCATTCTCTCAGGAATTAACTGTATCCCATAATATTTTTCCTGGTGTTATTTAACAGTTGTTTGCTAATAATTTCTTATGTGCTGATTCTCCAACTAGATTACTCCCCTTTAATACTCACTATTCTTCTGTAACGTTGAGTAGTTTAACCCTCCTGAGCCTAAAGACAGAGAATGAGATCCAGAAATATCCAGCCTAAGTACTTCTTTATATATTAGGCAAGTAATAAACATATGCTCCCAAATATACGTGAACGTAGTTATTAACAACATCCAGTTAGTGCACAGATAGTATTATTTGTTTATTTTTGAGACGGAGTTTCACTCTTGTCATCCAGGCTGGAGTGCAATGGCATGATCTTGGCTCACTGCAACCTCCACCTCCCGGGTTCAAGTGATTCTCCTGCCTCAGCCTCCTGAGTAGCTGGGATTATAGGCATGCGCCACCATGCCCGGCTAATTTGTATTTTTTTAAAGTAGAGACGGGGTTTCTCCACGTTGGTCAGGCTGGTCTGGAACTCTCAACCTCAGGTGATCCACCTGCCTCCACCTCCCAAGTGCTGGGATTACAGACGTGAGCCACTGCACCCGGCCCACAAATAGTATTCTTTAAATATGAAATGAAAAATCCATACTGCACTCATATTTTAGTATTTATTGTTGTTATACTCCAATATGTAATCTATTCTTTTTTTCTGTTTTTCTCTCGTTTGAATACCTTATCAATGTGTACTGGATAATCGCTTGAAACCAGATTCTGGCATCTTTCTCGATTTCCAATCATCTTTCTGAATTCAAAGAGTCTATTATGGGAAAGAAGACAAAAAGGAAAAAATTCATCTTTTATATCACCTACTAGGCATATTATAATTGAGACTGATTAACAGTAATTAAAAATTAGCAAATCCAGTTCATAAGCCATATTAAAATTTAATTTTGATCATTAAAGAAAGAGATTAGGCTGTTTTTTCCCAAACTGAACACTTTTTTCAAAAAAATGTGAGAAACAATATTGTTCAGAAAGTAATTAATACATATAAGACTCAAAATTAAAGGCACCAATCCTGAAAATTCATTTTCTCTTTTTTTTTTTTTCCGAGAGAGAGTCTTGCTTTGTCACCCAGGCTAGAGTGCAGTGGCGCGATCTCACCTCACTGCTCTCACCTCACCACAACCTCTGCCTCCCAGGTTCAAGCCATCCTGCCTCAGCCTTCCGAGTAGCTGGGATTACAGGCATACGCCACCACATCTGGCTAATTTTTGTATTTTTGTATTTATTTTTTTGAGACAAGAGTCTCACACTGTCGCCCTGGCTGGTGTGCAGTAGCGCTATCTCGGTTCGCTGCAACCTCCACCACCCGGGTTCAAGCGATTCTCCTGCCTCAGCCTCTCGAGTAGCTAAGATTACAGGTGTCCGCCACCACGCCCGTCTAATTTTTTGTATTTTTAGTAGAGATGGGATTTCACTACATTAGCCAGGCTGTTCTCCAACTCCTGACATCGTGATCCGCCTGCCTCGGCCTCCCAAAGTGCTGGAATTAGAGAGTGAGCCAGCGCGCCTGGCCAATTTTTTTATTTTTAGTAGAGACGGTTTTACCATGTTGGCCAGGTCAGTCTGGAACTTCTGACTTCGTGATCCGCCCACCTCAGTCTCCCAAAGTGCTGGGATTACAGGAGTGAGTCACCAATCCTGGCCGAAAATTCATTTTCTTAAGTCCAGATTTTCCTATGAGCTACAGTGTATTCCAGTTTTAAAGTCATTACAAATTTGGGTTACCCAAGAAGACTCAATCCTTGAAAACTACATACAATTCTTATCAGCTTAATAATTATTGAAGTAAAAAATCTACCCTGTGTTTCTGAGAGCTCTCTATTTAAAAAATCTGAATTATTTTTAAAATAGTACAATTTATGATATGGGCTAAAACTTAAGAGAAATAACTAAAAAGACAAAAGTAAAAAGGAAATAATTACATTTTACATAGTTTAATGTCTAATTTGCTGGACAAATGCTCTGTACTTGAGAGTAAGGGATTTTATAACAAAGTTTTAAATGTTCATTAAAACAACAAATTCAGAACAAGTATTCAGGAAAAAAAATTGCTTGCCTTTTGAGATCTTCTGGCCTTCCCCATCCTCTGATAAAAAGTTTTGTTAGGAGAAGTCTCCGGTATAGAATATCTAACTTGCTCACACCCATCAGTAGCAAACAAGCATCTATAAAACAAAATTAAAATGGTTTTAAAATGTTTTGTTTTTTTCAAGGCAGCAGGTCAATTCTCTAACCATTTCTTTGACTATCATGTAAAATTAAAGATTCAGACTAAATTCTTGAATTAATTCCTTTGGAAACAAAATACAAGATTTTGGGGAAAAAAAGAGCTGGGTTGAAAAGAGAGAAGATGTACACCCTTGAACTTCACTAAACTGTGAATTCCTCTAGGGTAGGATCTTCCCATCCTCAGTACAGTTGCTGAAATAAGTACCCTCTATTTGCTGGAAAAAAATAGTAGGGGAATATGTGATAGTGTATTATCTGCCAGGCACCACTATTTTAAGAACTACAAACACATGCACAGGTTCTCATTAAACCTACCAACAATTTTGAGGATGGATTTATTATCCCAATTATACAGACAAGAAAACTGAGGCACAGATAATTTACTCAAGGTCACACAACTAGTGGAAAACATAGCTAAGATTCAATCCCAGGCACACAACTTAACATCTAACTATGACACTACACTCTCCTCTACTATACTACAGTGAATGAAAAATAATAATCACTGCTACTACTTGCATACCGTTTATCTATCTTCTCAAATATTTCCAAAGATTTTTAAGTATCTACCTCCATCTTGTCAAACTGAATGGTAAGATTTTGATTTGTGGGTGAAACCTGACACAGATTCAGTGTTTACTCTACTTAGATAAATGAAAAATGAAAATCTGCATTTCCTTTTTCAATTGTTTTATTTTTTCTCAGATCTTAGGAAATCTGCATTTTCATCAACGAGCTTTAAGAAGTACTTATCCATTGCTTCAGATTTTTTTGAAACCTTCCCTTTTATCTTCTATTTTAACTTTTTCATTTTTTAATAACCTGCAAGACCAACTTAATATCCTCTGTTTGCCTAGGTATAGAATGTAACCCACCATCAATTGGGCTGGCATTTAAGTTGTTTTAATGGTTGGACCAGCAAAACCAAGTCATTCATACTGCCTCTTATAATTCTCAGTACCAAGAAGAAACATTTACTAGCCAATGTACTTGTTAGACAAGACAACCTATAGCCAGAGTATAGGATTAAGTGTTTTTAAAAGCACCCATCTCTCTTTTTCCCAGTTTCCATGTGCTCTTCAATGACTCTTTGATAAATGTGTGGTTTAGACATAACAATGTTTGAAAAAATGTATTGCATACACAGTTTTGTTATTATACTATTTATGTCTACCACTATACATAAACTGGTATTAATTACTAGAGTCCTATAAATTATCATCCATCCAGTGTTAAGTGCAGTTCACCATAGACGAACCATCTCTGGGTGGGTTAATAAGTTCCTGAACTTGTAAGACTATGTATGATTTTTTTCATTCAACAAATATTTATTAACTGCTTATTATATTCCAATCATTATTTTGGGCCCTGTGCCACAAAAATGACAAAGGAATGGTCTTGTTCTCATTGATCTTAGATTTTAGTGGAGGGAAAATAATTAAAAATTTAAAAAAATCTATCTAACTATCAAAATAAGTAAGAGTAGAAGATAATAACACTATGGTTAAAATGAAACAAAGCAATGTGGTAACAACTAAAGGGCTCTTCTGGTAATTTAAAAACCTCTTTGAAGAGGTACCAAAAAGGCAATACAGATGCTCCTCAACCTACAATGGGATTGCATCCCAATAAACCCATCATAAGTTAAAAAAAAAATCGTATGTGGAATATACATTTAATACTCTGACAAACTTATGGTCAAAGTCAAAACAATCATAAGCCAAACCATCATAAGTTAGAGACTGTATGTATTTAAGCCAATAGCTACATGACAAGGAGCACTCAAGTCTTTAAATTGCAAATCTCATTAAAATCATACACCTCTTGAAATCTACCCATTACTATGTTCCAGTGAAATTTGTTGAAAATTACCTACTCAGTGGGTAAAGCACAGGTAGAGATAATTAATATAAGGGAAACGAAAGAAAAAATAATTACATACTCTTTTTAAATTAAAAACGCTCACTGTAAAATTCTTAAATTCACCATTATGAAGGTATGTATAGTAAAAATGGAGAAAATAATCCCCTTCCAATCTTTTTTTTTTTTTTTTTAAGAGGGAGTCTCGCTGTTGCCCAGTACAGTGGCGGAATCCCAAGCTCACTGCAACCTCCGCCCCTTGGGTTTGGGCAATTCTCGTCTCAGCCTCCTGAGTAGCTGGGACTACAGGCACCCATCACCATTCCCAGCTAATTTTTGTATTTTCAGTAGAGACGGGGTTTCACCATGTTGGCCAGGCTGGTCTTGAACCCCTGAGTTCAGGTGATCTGTCCGCCTTGGCCTCTCAAAGTGCTGGGATTACAAACGTGAGCCACTGTACCTGGCCCCCTTCCTATCACTTTTAATTTTACTTTTCAGGCATATCTAGTGCTAACAGTTTGGATTCTACTCTTTCTGATCTTTTTCTTGTTGATGTTACTTATTTACCTACACATACTGTCTTGCTCTGTTTTGTGTTGCTATAACAGAGTAACACCAGCTGGGTAATTTGTAAAGAAGAGAAATTTATTTCTTAAAATTCTGCAGGCTGGAAGTCCAAGGCTGAGGGGTAAACATTTGGTGAGGACCTTGCTGCATCATAACATGGGGGAAGTATCACATGATAAGAGAGCAACAGAGAATTGAACTCACTTTTATAGTAAGCCCACTCTCCAGATAACTAATTCACTTCCAAAATAATAACATTAATCCATCCATGAGGATAAAGCCCTCATAACCTAATCATCTCTTATTAGGACCCACCTCCCAACACTATTGTATTGGGGATTATGTCTCCAACACGTGAACTATGGGGGACACATTCAAGCCACTGCACATACTTTTTAAAAAATTACAAAAGTAATGTAACACATTTTGGGCAGAATTAAGACAATATAAAAATTTTATACAGAGTAAATGGAGAAGCTTCTCTTCATCACTTCTTCGTCTCCTCCCATTGGCTTTTTTTTTTTTTTTTTTTTTTTTTTTTGAGATGGGAGTCTCACTCTTGTCACCCAGGCTGGAGCACAGTGGCACAATCTTGGCTCAATGCAACCTCTGCCTCCTTGGCTCAAGTGATTCTCCCGTCTCAGCCTCCTAAGTAGCTGGGATTATAGGCACGCAACAGCACACCCAGCTAATTTTTGTACTTTTAGTAGAGCCAGGGTTTTGCCATGTTGACCAGGCTGGTTTCGAACTCCTGACCTCAAATGATCCACCTGCCTCAGCCTTTCAAAGTGCTAGGATTACAGGTGTGAGCCACTGCACCTGGTCACCATTGTTAATATTTTAATACTTTGTTCTATCCACTTATACACATACACATGTTTTATGGTGTTTTGTTTTTTTTCTTTTTTTTTTTGAGATGGAGTCTCACTCTGTTGCCCGGGCTAGAGTGCAGTGGCATGATCTCGGCTTACTGCCAGTTCCGCCTCCCAGGTTCATGCCATTCTCCTGCCTCAGCCTCCCGAGTAGCTGGGACTACAGGCGCCTGCAACCACACCCGGCTAAATTTTTGTATTTTTAGTAGAGATGGGGTTTCACCATGTTAGCCAGGATGGTCTTGATCTCTTGACCTCGTGATCCGCCCGCCTCGGCCTCCCAAAGTGCTGGGATTACAGGTGTGAGCCACTGCACCCGGCCTTTCTGATGTTTTTTAAACATGGAAGAGAGTAACTACTAATTTTTTTTTTTCAGTGCTATTCCTCCTTTTGTTTATAAACATCCGCAAAGCTCTTTCAAATTCAGGGTATATAGATCCACCTCATATTTTTCTCTTAACAGGTAAATTTAGATAATTTATATTTATTATTATGATAAATATTTGGTTTTAGTTTTTTATTGATTCTGTCGGTTGTTCACATTTAACTATTTTACATTTACTTTGAATAAACAGTTTGACTTACATACTTACCATAAAGTTGATGCTTCAACTTTATGATGAATTTATACAATGTAACCTCATCATAAACTGAGGAACATTTAGACTTACAGTGGTTCAACTTACAATTTTTCAGCTTTACAGTAGGTCCATCGGAGTGTTCAGTGCATTTTCAACTTAACAATATTTTCTATTTACAATGGGGTTTATCAGGATGTAACCATATCACAAGCTGAGGAGCATCTGTATTTAACATGTGATATATCACTGTGGCTAAGAGAACCGACTCTAGAGCCAAATTGGGTCAAATTCTTACTATAAGACTTTTAACAAGTCACTTAGCCTTTTTGTAATTCACCTGTAAAATGGAAGTAATGATAATACTTACCTGAAATAATTGGTATGCAATTTAAATTAGTTTATAGAAGGCACTTGAACAGCTCTTTGAAAATTTAAGTGCTACACCTAGTATAGAATCAGGATTTTAAGTCTTTATCAGATTTATAGCAAAAAGCTTCTACCATTCCATTAACTTTACAAATTATATTTACATGTATTCTATATGCTTAAATGTTTATATAATCAACCACACATCCAGTAGAACTCAATACACTGTAAAAATATTCAAATTTAGTTCTTTAAAATATGAAATTCCTTTTTCTCATTGGAGGTCATTGTAAAATGGAGTATTTTTCTTCTCTTTACTAATGATTTTTCCAGGAACATTTTCTTTCTACTGTATTCTAATTCCTATTTTTTAAATCTAGAAATCTATAAATCCATACACCTACTATGTACCCACAAAAATTTTCAAAAATAAAAAAAACTAGAAATCTTTTATAAACTTGGATTAAGTTCTAAAATCTATATTGTTTTAAATTTCTTTCAAATAGCTCTTATTAACTACAATTGTTGTTTTCATGTTTAAAATTCTACAATGAGTTTTCCATATATATTCAATTTGTCATGACTTAAAAAATAAAAATGTAATTATTTAATAGTGTTCAATCTATATATTAACTCGATAGCACTGTGACTTTTAGTCTTCTCATCAAGCGATATACCTATTTATTCATT